CTTACTTACTTAAATAGCCATAATAAACCGTTACCGGGTTTTGGTTTTATGGAACATGTCTTTCCACGCTCTCCAAAGTGTTAATATGCTTGCACACAATCAGAGACTTCTGTAAAAGCTGTTCTCAAGCAAAACATTGAACATTTATGGTATTATTATTGAACTTTCTCCAAACAAAAAATTTTATTCATTAGGATATATCAGCTATAATGACTTCCAACAGCTTGACAAGAGGTCATTAGGATATTTCAACTATAAGGACTTCCAAGAGCTTGACAACTTCTAATATCAAATTGAAGAACAAAAATACCTTGCTCTGCTTTTCTACACAAAAACTTTATTATTTAGAAGATTTCTGCTTTAAAAACTTGCCAGAGTGGGACACAGTCATATTTGTGGTGGTCGAAATTGGAATAGAATGTTTAGAAGAGATGATAGATGTGATTCCTAAGGAAATTAGGACTATAAGAGTCTTAAACGGTGGCTATGTTCTAGAGAACCACATTAATATAAATGTATATATAATATATTATTAAATATTAATATATACCTATGTCTATTTTGATGTCTTTATAAGCAATATTGAAATTAAATTAACCACAAACAAACTGTCAGTAAATATGAAATTGCGAAAAACGTAATCAAATGTGACACAATCAAGTAAATTAGAGTGCTGTAAACATTATGGACTTCTGTAGAAAATCAATTCATAAATATATTTAAAATTAAGATTTTATTTTAAATTACGATAGTTAAATGAGAGATAACCGTTTATAAAACACTCTGTACACCCTATAACAGATTGTAAGTATAGAGAAACTTTTACTACTATGAATGAGTAAAAGTAAAAGTTCCATGTATTTGTGTATTGAGCAGCTTATTGTCAAGAAGCGGACTATCTCTTTCTAGTACTTGAAGAAATCAAAACAACAAAATTGAAAGCTTTTAAAAAACAGCTGTGCACTTACCGGATATTGGTTTGAATTCCTCGATAATACTAGGGAGTAGTTGTGGGGCTAGGCGGTGTTCGGCTTAATTGAATTTTCTATAAAAACCTTATTATTTGCTGGAAAGAAGAAAAATGCGATATTTCTCATAATCCAGAGAAAATATTGGACACAAAATCGCGTTTGTAGTTTCTTATGTTTGTGCAAGTGAGTGCACTCAAGTGAGCGTGTGAAATAAAACACTCGTGTTTGTTTGTTTTTGCATGGACAAATACGAGTGTATGCACTACTGCATTGCATAATAAACCGGCATTTTTGCTATTTGTGTGCAATGGCACTGCGGTATTTGTTGTTGTGCATGAGACAAAAACCAAAAAAAAAAAAATCAAACAAGTGTGGAGCATATTTATCGGCGCTTATACATGCGAGAAATGTCTATGTGGGTTATATTTGCTTCTGATTTTCTTTTTCAACTTTCATTTATTGTGTGCGATATTTAAATACATAAAGGAAATTCTTTAAAGACAAATACAAGTAATAAAACGCAAGGAATGCAAATGTGTACATATTTAAAACAAATGAAAATATTTTGCAAATGATAGCAAATAATAGAAGTTTTTGTTGTTGTGATTTTAAGCTGTTACTGGTATATTACTTTTAAAATTTATTTCACTTTATTAATAATTAAAGTTATTTAATCTGTTATAATACCCAGTTAGTAATAGTAACATGTATAAAATATTTATATATAATACATATAATACACATGTATATAAAATTTTATATATTTTATAATTAAGTTCTACTTATTTTTTTTTTTGTCGTACAAACTTTATATTTAATTTAAGTATTTTAAATTTTATAATTTAATACATTGAATATTATCTTTGTTATTTATTTATCATTATATTTTACTATTTAATTTTACTATCTAAATAGTGTAGGTTAGTTATGTTTATTTGTACTACTAATAAGAAAGTGGAAAACGAAGTCAGTGGAAGGAAACATATGCGCAACTAATTTATATAGTACCTTTATTATCAATTATCTCAATAAATTTAATCTATTTAACAATGTTTACCAAATCCTATACAATATTTAGTTTATATATCGATTCTGTCTTTATATCTACTTCACTTTACGCAAATTAATGTTCATTAGCTGCCTAACCTTCTAAAGTTGTAACTGTTGTATATGTGTTTGTTGTGTTGGCTGTGTAGGGTCTACCAACACAAAACGATTTGACTTTAATTCTTAATAGACTATTCTATATATATTTTATAAATAATACAATAATAAGTTGCAGTTGACCTTATAAAATGTATTTTTAATACAATTAACAATTTCCACAATGAGGAATTTATTACTTATTGATTGATATTCAGATGTCTGAGTTGGTGAATCAGCACCTTTACTCTATTTTATCTGTGGACAGTTTTAAGTCACACTAAATACGGGGCTTTACGGGGCTTTATAATATGATGGATCTGATGTCTTTGTATCTGCCTGTGTTTATCAAATTTCGCTGTAATTTTAGGATACTGAGAGTTGGATTATTGTGACTGGCAATTGTATTGAACAGTTTCAGAGCACGATCTTTAATGTATTTTTCAACTGAATCCACTCTCAGATCTCTGTGGATTGATCTAAAATTTATATAAATTCAGAAAATCAGGTTCAATTGATCAATTCGAAAAACTGAATCGATAAAGTCAGGTTTGATTGTATATTAATAAATTGATATATATAAATGTAGCTGTTATATAAACACATTGTTATTTACATGCTTATATAAAATTAGATTCGTTTGTTGATATTTAAGTATACTTTTCACATAATTATATTAAGCTAATATATTAATTTTTTTGCGGTCCCACAATATACGTTCCAACATCAAGGTAAATATTTTTTAAGCATGCGTCAAATCGGTATGCCTATATGGGTCGGAAACCTGGCTGGCTAACTCCGAAATTGAAAGAAGATTACAATCATTTATCAATCGATACCTGCGCAACATACTAGGCATATGGTGGCCTAGAACGATTTCGAATGAAGACAGCGACAGCGAGAAAATAAGAAAGAAGTATGGTTGGATTGAACACACACTGCGTAAGCCCTATGAAGATATCGCGCATGCTGCACTTATTTAGAACCCCCCGGAAACTAGGCACAGAGGCAGACCAGCAATGGCCTGGAGAAGAACAGTTCAGCAGTAGACGGGCAAATCGTTTAAAGAGTTGAAAGTAATAGTATAAAATAAAAACCAGTGGAAAACTTTTGTAGACTCTTTAAGCTCCTAATAAAGTATGGAAATAATAATAATATATTAATTTATATTAAAAGTTTTCTAAAATATACCATAATTAATATTGTTTACATTATATTACTTTAATATCGATCAATCAAATTAAATATAGTTACCATAAAAATATATTGTTGAAAAAACAAGACTTCTTTTATAAAAATATTCTGATAAAAAATTTTTAAGGTTTGTATTTTTAACTAGAGATACCTATCTGTTAGGGGCTCCGTAAGCGCTATCAAATCAACCTTTTATATAGACGTCTACAGGACGGTGTTAGTAATATAGTTTTCTAAAAAAATGAGATACATACCAATATTATTGACCACAATATGTTTACAGTGCGTTTCATGCGGTGGTTGTTTGCAGTTCAATAAGCTATACTTGTAACTTGCCTTGAAATGGGTAATATATTAAATGGCTACATATTTATTCTATCAGATAAGTAAGCTGCTTTAGAGTTTCGGAGTTTAGTCTAATTTATATCCACTACTTTGTTTTGAGTTGTAAAGTATCTCGCTAATGATTAAGAAGACTATTAGAAAATTGCAAGACTGATGTGTTAGATGGAGAGGATGCCATAAAAATATTTTCTGAAACATCTGAGTAATCTGGACATACTTCTAGTATCATATATGAATGAACAATTGTAATCGGCGAGCACATAATAGTTAAGAAACAGATGGATGAAATCAACGATATGTAAATTATTATCATATATTATATATCATTATCAAATTCCCTTAAATTAGAAAAGGTCAGCGATTTCATATCATTTCATGGTGAGCTTTACATCCGGTTAGGAAACCACAAGGAAATTGAATATTTATGGTTTAAAGAATAGTCGGATTAATGTATCGGAGCCACTCGTCGAATTTAACTCCCAAATACCATTGGTTACAACCAAAACGGACTATAAAAGTAGATTCCAGCGAATTAAAACAGCAACAACAACAACAATTACATTCAATATTTGCTTTAATGACTCTTTAACTTATACTTAATAAAAACAATATATATGGAGTTTAATATTTTTATTAATACTATTTATTATAAACCAATATAAGTAAAATAAAACTTAAGACTCTTTATAAATATATTTTTATATATTATTATTAATTTGCATACATTATATTTTTGTTATTGTAAGTCATATAAACTTCATTGTTAAAAAATAATATTTATTAAAAAATTATTTTCGTTGGTTTGTTCGTTTCAGATTTGATATATTTAAAACAAATAATTTTAAAACATTTCAATATTATTTTAAAAAATTTTGAAAAATGAAATAAATTTTCCTTTATTAAATGCAATAACAAGTATTTTGATTTATATAAAAATTATAATATATGATATGTTTTTAATATTTTTGGTTACATGAATTACTTATTAATATTTGACTTTAGTAATTATTTATGTTCTAAACAAATTTAATATTATAAAAAGTTACAACATTAAAAACACCAATTTTTTTTTATTTTTATATATAATAAATTTACAGTCTTAAATAAACGATTAAATATAAAACTCAATAACAATTACAAAACCATTTAAAAATAAGTTTTAACTAAAATATGTAATTTATATATAAAAACTAGTTGATACTCATTACACAAAAGTATTAAAATACAAATTTACAATATTTGACACACAAATAATTATTTTCATTAGTAAATAAATTAAATACAACTGCATGCATTACATACAAGCAAATATAAAAAAATTTTTTTTTCATTAAAATTTTTAATTTTTTTAAAAATATATTATTTTTAATTAATATGGTTTAACAATTCATATAGTTGTGTTCATCGTCCTGAATTTCATTATCGTTATCTATTTCCTTCTCCGTTTTATTGTTCTGCTTAAGAGCATCAGTCTCCACATTATCTCCAACATTTTGATAAACCTCTGCCTGCACTTCCAGTTGTGCTACTTGTGGGGTTGCCTGTTGCTTGGGCTTGAAAGAGCTGCAAGTTGGTGAAGCCTTCGTTAGCTTACCATATATAATATTGGAACGTTCATTGACTTTGATGGGCTGTAAGGTCACACCATTTTGATACTGATGATCTTGTTCTCTAGCTTCCATGATTGTATTTAAGTAACTGCTACTCTGTGATGTGGAGAGATTTTGACTTGTGTATACTGGTATATTTGATGGAAAAATTTGGTAGTGTTCAGAACCAGTTGGACTAGTTGGGGTATTTAAACGTTGGCAGGATGACATTGGAGAAGGAAATACAATTTGATGTTTTTCATCTCCAGGTGTGGAGTTTGGTGTAAATACTGGTCGTGGTGGTGGTGGTATAAGATAATTATCCATAAGTGAACCAGGTGAACCAATACGACAACCAAATCGACGCAGTTCTTCATGGTCGGAATGTGTGCCGGAATCACCTAATGATGTACCACTGCAATTGCTGCCTGTACTTAATCTACCAGAAGAGGAAGATGATGAAACACTTTGTAAGCTTAGAGAGCTTATGGGACGCTGAGAAGACTTGAAACTTGAGCTAGTGGTTATGGAAGATTTGGTTTCATCCAGTACACTATCGGCACAAGAGTTTTTATCTGCTAAATGCGGCGTTGATTTATGACGTGAAAACAGTTTTTTGAGTTTCTCGAAAGGAGTTTCACGTTTCATTTGAGACTTTACTTGGTCCTGTATGCGTTCGTATTCTTTACGTAATTGTTCGATTTGTTCTTGTTTTTCACGGAAACTTTGTTGCACATCGTTACGATGTTTCCATTTTTCAACCAGTAGTTCTACATCGCGTATGGATAGAACATTATTCTTAAAATCGTGCATTATCTCAGCAAGTTCATCGTCTGCATTTGAACGAGTCGAGCTGGAGGCATCAGAGGCAGAGCGTTTTAATGTACCATAAGTTGGATTATTTGCTAAACGATGTGTTGAGCCGTTTACGCGATTAAGGCTGTTACGGGTTTGTGGCAAAAGTTCTTCCTCCACTGGACGATTCGAAGGTTGAAATAGGTAGTTACCATCATCCATTATTGCACCAGCATTCGTGGCGGTTTTGTTAATTACTGGTATATTGGAAGGTTGTAACACATAATCATTGCCATTAGCGATATTGCTACAGTTTTCTAATAATTGTGAGCACTCCTGACTGAATTTGTCAGTTTGGTAGGGTGAATCAATAACATCAATGGATTTATTTTGTTCTTTCGATTCAAAGTATGGTGGCTCATTAATACAGAGTTCATTTGTAGTTTCTTCTGGGCCTGTTACAACTTTATTGGTATCAAAGTTTTTATACACATCTGCTGAAGAACCCTGCAAATTTTCATCTTCAGTTTCGACGCTGATATAATTTAAATTTGAAATAGCCAAAGTTTCTATTTTTGGTTTCGTGTCTGGAGTATTTTCCCGTTCAGATCCACTTGACATTTCCATATACTCAGCTGTTGGGCCAGGAGCGACATCATGACCTCTTTGAGGTTTATTTGGCACTATTTTCGGAGATGAGGGTGTAGTAGATTTAACAGCCTCAATAATAACTTTATTGGCATTTGTTTTACCATTAATAGTTGGACCGCCTGGGGTATTAGTATTGCCAATGCCTTTAAAGTAATGATACATTGTCGTTAGTTCATGAAATTCAGAGAAGCTCACAATATTTTGTGCCAATTTATGATGACCTTCTTGATCGGATAGCTCAGCAGGAGTTTTGCCAGCACAGTTACGTATGCCACAGGCGGTATCACCACCAGGGCATTCCATCAATTGTATGCACAAGCGATTTAAGCCCCAACGTGCTGCAAAATGTAACAAAGTGGGATATTCTTCTGGGCTGGATTCGCGTATTGTGAGGAAATTTTGTTTTTCATATGGACCATTCAGTAAATGAAAATTGGGTGGCATATTTTTTTGAAAGCACTGCAATAAATGCAAATCTAATGCATCGCGTTCTGTTGCGCCAATTCCCAATGAATGACACATAAACTCAATGGGCGAATCTTCAGTGCGTAATAGCTGTTCTAGTTCACGTAAGCGACTTTCACATTTAATGGGACGAGCACCGAGACTCTTATCATTCTTTTCGATGCGTATCTCAACCATTGTAGAAATTTCCATGCAGCTTTCTAAAAGGAAATAAAAATTTTATAATTAAAAAATAATAATCATATCAATATTAAATATTACTTATACGCAAATTATTAAAAACTTATTGAATTAATTAAATAAAAATTAAAAACAAATATAATAAAAAAATTAAAAGTTATAATTAATAAATAGATTTCATAAAATAAAATTAATAAAAACATAAAAATTTGATAATGAATTTGATAAATTTATAAATTTATTTATTCATAAATAAATAATATAAATTTATTTATTTATAAATAAATAATAAATTTTTTTATTTAAAATAAATAAATTTAATAGAAGAATAAAAATTCGATAATAATAAAAGAAAATAATTTTATACGAACTCAATAAAATATATTATATATATTACATAAAGTATATCAAATAATGTTTACCTGGTACAGAAAATTGTATAGTGTATGGATTGCGACACTTGAAATTACGGATTTCAATTAGTTCTCCAGACTTTTCAACTACGATTTTTAGTATATCATCCTTTTCTAATGGTTCCACTAACATAGCCACTACCTTATTTTGACCAATTTTAACTTTCTTTGGCAGTATGGTGAAACCTTCTGAACAGCTGGAAAAACTACGTGAAATGCTATTGCTATTGTCATGACATGGTGGGCGTTGGCAAAGTGCACGTCCTAGTATATCTGTTGCTATACCAAGAATATTACTTATTTGTGCCTGCTCATTATCACGTAAAACACAGCGACGCCATTTATTGTAACTTGGAAGAGCTAAAAGGGTGTCCGAGAGAGGAGGAGAGGAAAGAATTCATTAGTAAAATTCAATTAGTTAATTTGAATATATAATTAACTCACCTGTCTTTTGAATTTCTCTAACTTTTTCCTCACTGACATCCAGTAGAATGCCTAAAACTTTCTCAACGCGTATAATCGCAGAGAGTTGGGTCATGAGAAAAGAGTGTGAAAGTGCCAATAGAGCGGGACACAAAATAACAATTTGTAGTGCTGTATTCTGATATTTGTTTGCGATCTCATCACTGAAAGGACCATCTTCGATTTTAATATGCAGAAAGCTATAAATAAATTTTAAAAATTTCGTTGAAAGTTATTAACTTCTATTACAATACTTTTTTATAATCTTTACTCCATTAATGTACGGAACAAATTAAGAAGTATTTATTGAAATGCAATTTTGGTGAAAGTTATTACTTACTTGAATGGTTTTCGTCCACGTTGTTTGGTAATTTTGTCGAAATGATTTTTTAGAAAATTTGCACGTACAATTGCACGTTCACTGTGCTTGGCCGTCACAATCAGAATATCGTCCATGTTATATGGCGAACCGAAATTGGCAGCAGGTGAGTTGCTCACAGTACCGCAGTTATCTGCAAAATAAAATAAAAATTAAAAGTCAAATTGTCTGTAGGAAAAATTGAAATTGGAAAGGTAATTTTGGCTTATATGTAAATAAATTTGTATTTGTTATGGATTTTTTTCTTTTGAATTTCGAATATGCAACTGATAAGCTACACGACTGACAAAAACAAAAAGTGATAATTTATTAGTTTACTTAGGACTTGACTTCAGCGATTTATGTTACTAATTTATAAATTTTGTTTATTTTCTTGTTTGATTATGTCGAACGGTGACAGCAAATATTCCAATGGTATTTTTTGTTGGTGGCCGACCGATGTCGATATTTAAGAGTTTATGCAATTCCAACAGAATTAATAATATCTGTTCTCTTCTGCATATTTTTTTAAGCGATAAGTTCTTTTGGGTCACGAAATATGCCAGAAATTCGTGATAATTTTTATATGCAAAGATATTTAAAAAAACAATATATGAATTTATAAAAATTTTTTCATTTGTTGCATTTTGTATATTTTATTTTTTGCAGAATAATATAGAAAAATACATCATTTTTAAGTAACCAGAATGCTTTTATACGATATACGAGTAACAAACTTCTACTTACAGAAGTTTATAAACATCAGTTTCTATTGCTGTACGTTTGGTTTCTATATAATAGATTTTCTATATAAATAGTTTATCTACAGCAATTACTAACTAAATTTAGAGAACGTATGAGAGTAATCGCGTTATAGTCATACAGAGATATACATTAAGATATGCGTACATATACCATATATGTTATTCTCAGAGCTATTCACATTAAAAATCTGTAAAAATGTTCTACTCAAGACTATATTTGATGAAAAGGCGATAAATATTGTGCTAATAAAATTATAGTGCATATTAAAGAAATAAACAAGAAGACATACACACATGTCTTCCTTAGAGCTGACCACATAATATAAATTATTAGAAGTGTTCTCTTCAGGACTACATTCGGTAAAAGTGCATACCATCGCGCTTATAAAATAAAAATAGTCTATGGTATGGAACTTAACGTTTCAGTTAAATCATAAAGCTGGGGAGTAGTGTTTCTGTACTACACCGTATTTATGTGCATTATAATACCACATAAAATACAGTAATATAATTAAGTAAGAAAGAATGTCATTTGTCGTTGGTAGATAACATACAAAATTTTCATTTATTAATGATTTGTGGCTTCAATTTTCCATAAAATTAAATTAAATTAAATTAAATAGTAATAAATTTGTAGTAGATTGTTAAAAAATAAATAGCTTCAGTAGTAATTCGCGTGAAAAGCAAAATTGTTTCTGATAATTGTTTCTCTTGTGCATATAAAAAAAAATATAAAAAAGAATATAAAATTAATACATTATTTAAAGTGCTTTTTAATAACATAGGATTGTACCTTAATAGCATTGGTCATAGAATATAATTACTATTTACTATATTATAAACACTTATGGTCAAAGAGATGTGCGAATTATAGTATTTTTATATAGAGTATACTCATAAAGTAATATGTTTTGTATCAACGCTTAGTATAATTAATATTATTTTTATGAATGTCTAATATACCAATTAAGTAATTTTATGATTGACTGTTCTATATTATGAATATAAGTAAAACCATTTGTTAGGTAATACGAAAGTAATCTAATATTTAATCTGATTTATATCGTTTGTGCAAGTGTGTTATTTATACGGGTATGTTATGTTTATAGACGAGTGATATATATTTATATACAAATATATTTACATTTAGTTATATACCATAATAGAAGCAATAATAATTTAGTTCACTAAACACAGTCTAAATCTTCTTATGCAAGGACATATTAAGAAGAATTTCACAACTGTGCTTTTAATTAATATTTTGTGCATTTCAGTTAAAAAAAATATAAGAACACTCAAGTGATTACAAAGTTAACATAAATAAATCCTTTGAAAGTCTTTACTTAATAGTACATAAAAAAAATTTTATATCGCTCTAAAACAGACAGTAGATTCAGAAAAAAATCATCAAAGCGCTGGCGCTGCAACATATTCTCATTTTACAGAGATGGGCGCCAATTTAGGAAGTAGCTCAGCATCCGCATAACATTTGTGAAGACATGTCAACCGAATGTGGTGTCACATAAGGGAATATCCCTTATGACATATACAGTTTGAAATGCGGGATAATTATATATATTTTAAATATTCTTTTTTTACATTTTCCCTGTTACTTGAGTTGTTTTTATATTTATTTATTTTACAATTTTTATTTTAAAAACTGTTTTTGCTTCGTTTTAAACTAAACTTAATATGGTATTATGATTTTTGCATAAGATTAAAGAATAAGCACTCAATCTTTTTTAATAGGGAACTAAGCACGTGAAGGGACTGGGGTTACGTGAGGTAAGTGAGGACCTTAAGTTCTTGGTTTCTTAAATTCTTGATAATATTTTTGCAAAATATTCTAGTAAGTCAAGTTGATATTATAAAAATGTATTAACAAGAATTATCTGTGTTGGTTTGCGGCCCTATACCCCACTAGGGCAAATGGACACTAAGAAGAAGTTAGTAAGCGACGATTTAATATATTTGCTGACTGTAGCATATCAAATGTAATATACATATCATTGTTATGCAGTACATTGTCTAGTTTATTTTTTTTATTTGCAATTGTATATTATTTTATTTTTTCAACTTAAGACTTTGTTTTTAAAATATTGTAATCATTAAGAGGATAAACAATCAAATTTATTAAATTGTATAAAACCTTACATTTTTTAATGAAAAATTTTTTTATTCATTGAAAGGAATTGACAAAAAATATATAAAGCTATAAGAGTGAGAAAAATTAATATTGATTAACAACGTAATGAACATTCAGTAATTGAGAGAATTTAGAATTCGGTTTATATAGACAAGTTAGACTACTTTAAAAAAAATATTTATTTATATTAGGATTTTTATAAAAAAAAGTTAGGAATTTTTCAAATAGATTATACATATTTCCGATATGCAAATAATGAGTAGTGTCAACTTAGTTTAGTGTTTTTACTGTTCAAAGGACTTTTTGTTGTATTATAAATATAACAGTTTCTAATGTTTGTATAAAATATATTACCGATCCATGGGTCAGTTTTTGTGAAAATTAAAATAAACGTTTGTTTAATATTTTTTAATATCTCCTTGAGAGTCATCATCAAGATCAGGATCTAACATAAACTAATATTAATAAAATGTATATCTAAACATCATGCTCTTGATTACGTTGTCTATTCTGCAAAAACCCAGATCTAGAAATAAATTCAAAATTTAATATAATACAGGTTCTTCTTTTTGTTTGTAGTGTTTGGATTGGTATACAGTGCTATACTTCAAAGTGTTAAGTAATCGGTGCACTTAAACAAAAATACTTCTGAATATGAATTATTACCTTTGACGACACACAGTATATAAAGTAAAACTTTTAAAATTTTTGTAATTTCGTTCGTTATTTATATAAAGCCGGTATATATTATATATATATAATATATCATATTATATATAATATATTTTTTCATTGTATGTTTAAAACTATTTTTTTATACTCGCCTTCCTTTAAGAGCATACTTCCATCGTCTACTTTTAAATAAATTTTATACAATAATCATCTCTTCTGCATAATATTTTATAGTAATTTAAATACTATATTATCAACATAAGTTATTTAATTTTATTTTTGTTTTAAATAAATGACAACGTATAAATAAAACTTTACTTAAAATGTTTATAAAAAAACTACACATAAATTTAGTCACGTTTTGGGCATTTAAATAAATCTCAATAAACATTAACAAAGCACAAATGATGTAGACAATTCAGAACTTATGTTTATTTTGATGTTGCCGTTGACAAACAACAATCTTAACAACAATTTGAAACAAAATCACAACAATTTATATGACGATTTTACCAAAAAAATATATATCTATATATATTTATAATTTTTTAAAGCATTTCGACTAAAGTTCTGACAAAAATGTTGGCGCGAAAATGCAATTTGAAAACGAAGAAAACCGTTTGAATCGTGATTTGTGAAGCGGAGGAAGTTAATGCTGATGTTATCTCTTGGCCAAACACAAAATTACTGCTGCATTTGCCTACTGTTGCTGAACTTTTTGACACCCACAAAAGCGGTGGCACCAACAACAACAACAACAATATCACTACAAAGTATCTTCTCATATATATAAAATATCAGGGGAAACGGCGAAATATCGAAGCAGCAAAAATGAAACGTCTTCCTTCCATATGAACTACTACAGTGCATATAAATTTGTTATTCCATAGTGCATATTCATACATTCATATAGCTCATTATAAAAACACAAATATATATTTTTTCTGCATTAAAAAAGATTTTTAAAAAATTTTCATATACATATACATATATATATAGTATATTTCGCTGTCGTAGTATATAAAGATGCAAAAATAGCGACAAATTCCCTTTTCTGTAGCCTTTATGTTTTGTTTTGTTTGATTTGTTATGTTTGTTTTCTTCGGGAATTACTGCTTGACATGTCTGCCAAGTCGATGGCAGTTGCATCTTTTATTTTGTCTTATTTTTATAATTTTTAATACAATACTTCATTATTTTTGTACTATAAAAGTTTTGGGTTCCACCAACTTCATTAAGTAAAGCTGTTTTAATCTTTTGCATTTTTATTTTACTTTCGATTATTAATAAAAATTCCAAATTAAAAACCAAAACACAGTTGACAACATAATTAACTGGAAATACTTAACAAAAATGCTTTGAATTTTTGACTAATGCGGTTTTAGTTAGAAAATCAAGACCCTTTTTATATATGTCAACCATGAGAAGATACATAAATTTATGACAATATAGTCATATATAATATAATATGTACTACTACATAACAACAAATTTTTACTTGAGATACAATTCAAATAAAAAATTATATATGGACATGTGAAAAAATGTTAGAATAATGTAGATATTAAAATT